AGGTGCTTGTGCCCTAAAACATGTTTTTGAAAAGAGTGGATAAACCTCCCTGTTTCCTGGCATGCCAATCTGATTGTTCAGAGCTGGAATTATAACATTTTTAAGTTCCAGAGCTCTTTATAAAACTCAAACATCTCATTCACGAGCTGTAAAATGCAGGTAATATTTCAGTATTGTTTTGGCATTGAATTATATTGCTTGGAGTTCTGAACTTTCCATTTCATTATACTTCAAAGTTAAATATGATACAAATTGGAGAGGCTTTCAGTTCTAGGAACAGTAATGTTTTTTTTAAAAAATGTACCTTTTCTGAAGAAACATTACTTGGTCATCACATATTTGTCTTTTAACATGCATTTTAACACAGCTACATAGAAATCTGGCCATCTTCAATTTCTATTTTTCTAGTAATTATATTAATTAATTTGGAAAACAACAGGTCAGCTTTCAGTGAAACGGGTTAGAAAGCTGTGTCATGTGTGTGCTAAGCAACCACTCTCACACTGAGCCTATCACCAGCTGTGAATTTTACTGTTTGCAGACAGGGTCTCACTACTTGACTACATTAGCCTTTTCCTCCCTCTTGTGGCCCAAGAAAGTTTGGAATTTGTGGTTCTCCCATGTACATCTCTTAAGTAGCCACAATTATGGGCCTCAATCAGCACACAAAGCAAATAGAAGACTCATAAGTGCTAGTAATTCCCTTTAGAGAATATATGGAAATATCAAAGGTATTTTATAGTTTAACAGTGAATACTTGATACATTAACATTTAGAAGACCTTTCTGGGGCATTTGAACCTTTACTCTAAAGACCTAAAATATATATATATATATAGAAAGTGAACATTATAGGTAAAGAGGCCTAAGAGGTGAATGTAGACATGCTAGGAAGCAAGGAGACATAGGTAGAAATTAAAAATTATGCATGGAGGGAAACAAAACCTTAAAGGGCTTGTGGCATACCGCATATGGCATACCAAATGAATCCCAAGAACCACAACAGGGTGGAGTGAACAAGAAGGAAGTGAATAGGAGATGAAGTCAAAGGGAAAGGGAGCTTAGGTGCTGTAGGACTTCTGACACAGAGGGCAGACTTTGGCTTTTACCTTCAGTCATAGTAGAAATCTACTGGATTATCTTAAACATAGGAGTGTCTTTCTAACATTATATGTATTATAAAAAGTAAATATAAAGATCATGGTAAAATGTAAGATCACTAATGCAATGAGTATAAAAGCAATGATGCTTTTGTTATGGAGATGCACTGTTGTAGGGGAACTCATGCAACAGAAAAACAAAGAGTATGATTGCCTATAAGGAAATTAGTTACAGTCATAATTACTTGCATATAATGTGCATGTATATCTAGAAAATCTGATGGAATGTATTAGAAAACTGGTAGGACAATAATGGAATATGTAAGTTCTATGATATCTATGATGATAGTATTTATGAAAACATAGATACAAGGTGCAATGCTGATTGACAAGAAAAATATAAACTGATGATGAACTGTACTGATATTCTGATGATAAATTGATGACATATGTTTTTTAATTTTAATAAGTAACAGTAATACATAGACTGAAAATATGATGCCTTGAGAAAAATCTCATTTATAATAAACTTGGAAATTAACAAAACAAAAAATTTTATTGCTAACAAGAATTTAAAGACATTGTTCATAAAATCAAGAATTGGCGAAGTGACATTTTAACAACTTAAATAAATGGAAAGCTATACCATAATCTTGAATGGGAAACTTTGTTATTTAAAGACATTAATGATTCTCATGGAAATAACCTGTAATTTGGTGAAATTCTGACCAAATTTCATAGGACTGTTTTTAAAGCTGACAAATTATAAGTTGAAAAATGAGATGGGGAAATAGTAAAGAAAAAAATAGAAGTAAACAATGAAATATAGAAGTAGCAAAATAGAACTTAAGAAAGCCCCCAAACAAAACTGTTCATGCATAAAACTTCAATCTGTGGTAGAGATAAACTATCAAATCAATGTCTTGCTAAAAGCTTTTCAGCAACCCAAGGTAGAAAATAATCTAGCACCAATGAAAAATCATTTCTAGATGAATAAAATCTTTTCATGTTAAAATAAATTCACAAAAGAACAAGTGTTAATATTAATTACCTTTTGTTATCTTAGAATAGTAAAGGTAATTCTATGAATAACACAAAATACAGAAAATATTAACAAGAAATATGAAGATCACAAAGCATTACCTAATACTTTCATATGACAAAGGTTTTGGAACAAGTGGGGAGAAATGGTAAAGAAAAATGGCTCTGTAGCTGAGCACACTGGCTGTTCTTCCAGAGAAGCAGGGTTTGATTCCCAGCACCAACATGGCAGCTTTCAACTGTCTATCAATCCAGCACTAGGAAGTCTGGTTTGTTTTTCTGGCCTCCGCGGGCATCAGGATTACACATGATGCACAGACACACTTACAGGCAAAACATCCACACAAAGAATTTTTTTTAAAAAAATTAAGTTTAAAAAAAAGAGAAATAGCGGTAAAGGAAAATATTTACAGCACACTTTATAGAAGAGTCATAATCATAAATATAACCACCAAAATAGAAAAATGGGAAGGGGAGGAAGGAAAAGGATAAAAGCAGGTTCATTTTAGGACAAGAAACACTTATAAACCTGAATATTTCTATCCTAAAATTTTAAGTCAGGAATAGAGTACTCTATAATAGACTGCTTGCCTACCTAGCATGCATGAATGAGATTCTGAGTTCTACTCCCATTACTTTGAGAAAAAAAAGGTATATGGTAATTTAAAAATATTTCTTACATAAATGTTCTATCACTATAATGTACATATAGTATGTATCTTCATTATATTGAATGTATATGATATGATATTTGAGGCAATTTTGCCTATATTAGCAAATATTATATCAATATTATATTAGCCAACATATATCAAGTTTCTATTACTTAGAGTTGATTTATGGTACAACTTCATTGAATAATTATTTAGCTGCTTAAAACAATGAAATAAATTTATGCAAACTAAAATTATTCATTTAAAAGTTCAGTTAAAATAGTATATATAGTATCATTATATAAGTATAATAATAATATAGAGAACTGAGGTATGATTTAATGATAAAGTATGTCTTTAGCATGTGTGAAGCCCTGCGATGAATTCCTAGAACTAAAATTTAGACACACACACAATTCTGTATCTATGTACATATATATATATCATATAAGTATGAATACATGTATATATGTGTGTGTGTGCATAGACAAAACTTAAGGAATGATAAATCTCAAATTTATAGTAATAACAGTTAACCCTTACACTGAAGTTAGTATACTCCAGGCACTATTTAAAATGATTTTCTTTTATTTATTTACAAGTTCCTTTTTATATTAAAGTTTATAAAATTAAAAAAAAATAAAAATAGTTTCATGTGTTAACTAATTTAAACGAGGCAATACCCTGAGAAGTAGGCATTATTTCTCATATGTTCCAAATGAGGAAGTTGCGTGACTGGTTATGCGCTTAGATAGCCAATATGATTCTGGGCATATCCCTTTAAAGGAAAATATCACAGCCATGAGGGGCTATTCTTTGGTTTCTACCAAGTGACAACTCAGATATAATGGAATCCAATCATATGGGGGGTGGTGAGAAACCTCCTAGCTTAGAAGACATAAGTGCCACACAGAGAAATCCAGACCTCTTGTGACAACTCACATAGACAGGTCCCATGAGCCTCAAGAGAATACTGATTTCATGCTGCTCAGTTTTCTACCAGTTTATTCATAGTCCATTCATAGTCTTCCTGGCACAGGGTATATAGTTAATCAGTATGGAGTTATTTCTATTCAATACAATGTCTGTTCTACATCTGATTTTCCATCTTTATTGGGGCTTTGGGAATAAAGTTCAGATATTTATTAATTTAGCATTATCAATCCAAATTAGAAATGTATACATTCTTTAGTTCAAACATTCCCCTTCTAGGAATTTACTTGTTAACAAAGGTAGTATCCATTGCAGAAACAAGAGAAGTGACAACTATTAATAGAAATTATGCACACAGAAGTGCAAGGTCACAGTAAAAGAGATTAGTAATCCAAGATGGCTCTGCCTCCTTTGTAGCCTACTTCCTTCGTAGGCAGCAAGCAGGAATGCGTAATTCAGCCATATGAGTGTAAAAAGGTAGCACTTTTTATAATAAAAATATTGGAAACAATTGGAATACAATATTATTTTTTTAGTAAGAATGATTAATAAAAATGATAGAAGAGGCCCTTTATGAATTGACATAGCATGATCAGTAAGATAAGATAAGAAGGACAAAATTTGTTATCTATTCCCATATGCTTGATTTTACAAACATTATTCTTGGGAAGACAAACAAGACAGTGCCTCCAGAAAAGTCAGTTTAATGGCTGGAAGTCCTGGTCATTGTGCTCCTTTTTTACACATTTGAAATCAGGTAACCGTATTACCTACTTAGAAAATTAGGTTAAGATTTCAAATTTCCCTAGCTGGGCTGCCTTGTCTTGCTTCAACGAAAAAGGAGGCATTTAGTCCTCATGCAGCTCAATGTGCCAGGGTGGGTTGGTACCTAGGGGTTGGGGTGGGGGTGGTGGTGATAGGGGAAGTGTGTGGGAGGGTGGGACTGGGAAGGAGAGGAGGGAATGGGGTTTCAATTGGGGTGTAAAATGAACAAATAAGTAAGTTAATGAAGAAACAACTATTTCCAAAATAAGACTCAGAATGTAGCTCAGCAAGTAGAGTACTTGTCTTGCATACAAGCAGCTCTCTGGTTTTATTCCCTAGCACCACATAAAATGGTGTGGTTGTGTACACCTGCAATTCCTGAACTTGGAAGATACAAGGACATTGTTCACTACATATTGAATTTGGTGCCAGCCTAGAATATGTGAGATCTTGTCTCAAATAAAGAAAACAAAACAACTTCTAAGAATACACACATGAAAATAGCTGACCTTTGGGCACGGTAGATGTATTTCGAGTTTCCTGTAAGACGGTACAGCAGAAGGAAGACATAGGCACTGCCAGCTACCCCGTGGCAAATCCCTGGCCCCTTCTTCAGCAGGCCTTTCTGCCATGTTAGCTCCCCACACCGAATACAAGTGTCCAGGTACTGTGGTTTCTTGGAAACGAGATAAGCTTTGGCAAACAGATAAGCAATTCCTGCAAAAACATCAAAGACAATAAGAGGTGACTTTCGGGGTTTAACAATACACAGTTTCTCAAAGGTGCACACCTCACAAATCCCCACATATTTTAAGGCTGTGGCTAAGATGTGGCTTGGGAGACTGCATTTCCGTTTTGTTTTCTTTTGTTTTTACATTCCTAGTTACATTTTCAACAATTGGACTTCTAAGCACTATGCTTTCGGTAGCAAGACTATATAATGCTCTACATGAGAGTGTGTTTTCCCTATGTGATTAGTTTAAGCTATTTTAATTCTATCATGGAGCTTGCTTCTGGAGAGAGACTGTTTAATTGAAGTACATCAACTAATATGATCCATTATTTTCTTTATAAGTGACTTAATATTTAATGATACATACATGCTGGTAAACACTGTATATAGGGCTGTTTCAAAGGGCTTTTTACACAGCTTACTAATTAAACCATAAAAGTTCAGAATTTGGTCTCATCAGGACTGGCTTCATTATCTTCCTCTGTGGACTGGTAAAGCTGATAGACTAGGGTCAGGTGGAAGGGGAGGAGGACCTTCCCTAACATTGGACTGGGGGAGGGGCATAGGAGAAGAAAAGGGAGGGAGGGTGGGATTGGGAAGGGATGGAGGAGGGGGCTATAGGTGGGATACAAAGTGAATACACTGTAATTAATAAAAATAAAATATTTCTTTTAAATTTCAGAATTTGCAGTGTTTATATATTTATAACAATACCCCCTTCCTTAAAGGCAAAACTAGAAGACTTTCCAAGAAAAATAGTGCAAAAACCAAACAACCTCAATAAAACATCTACTCTAGCTTTGAAGTGAGTCCTTCCCATGGCCAGTGTTCCATGGAAGGAATTCCTCTGAAAGTTGCCAACAAAAGTAATAAACACTCCTGAAGCACGAGCAGAAACAAGCGGAGTGACAACTAGTCATTGCTATTATTCTCTCCAAGTTGCAAGGTCTAGATGTTCATAGTGAAAGAGATTAGAATGCAAGATGACTGCCTCCTGCATAGCCTACTTTCCCCTATATAGAATGGAGGAAGGGGGAAAACTAGCTTAGTGATAGAATGCTTGTATAGAAAGTGTGAGGCACTCGGATTCATGGCAAGCACCCTTCAAAATTGCATTAAAATGTGGGATCAGTGACGTTGAATGGAGTAGGTATCTTGATGGGCTCACTCACTAAGATTCTTTCTGCTTTTTATTGTTTTGAACAAGGTACAATAAACAACTTGATAGAGAGGACTTTTTGCATGTGGCCATAATGTAGGGCAAAAGGAGATTTCCCCTCAAAGGTTCCCATGCTGTGTTTATGCTGTTACTATCTTGAGATTCTTAATATTTTGTTTTAATTAATACTTTTTAAAAGTTTACACTAGGTATCCTGAACTGCATAGGTAGTCCTGGCACTGGGGAATCTAAAAGAAATCCTAATGATTGTAAATGTTCCTTGGGTAGACTCCGTGACTAAAATAAAGGTATGTGTCTGTGTTGCTGCTGGGACATTCAGTGAATGGTAGTGTCAGTGAAACTAGAGAGATCAGACAAGTGAAATTGTCCTGAGGGAAACAGTTGGGAGAAGCCTTGAATGGAAGCAGGGATTTTCTGAGATTTGTAAGTGGCATAGGAAATTCCAGGCCCAAGGTGAGGCAAGGAAAGCATATTAACCACCAAGATAATAGAGGCTAAGAGGTTCAGAGACATTTAAGACTAACCACAAGATCAATGTGTCAGCATCCTAATCAAGGGGCCAGTAGGGTAAAAGAGTAAGAAAGAGTTCACATTATGGATGGTATGGTAGTTTCTGTTAGGCATTTCAGACTATATACTGTGGGTAATAGAAAGCTACTAGAATCTTTTTATTATGAATTGGTTGGTTTTAATTTTTCATAATGATGTGATTGTTCTTACATGGTATGGTAAGAAAAGACCTAAAGAAAGACTGGATAGCTCTGAGCTAGTTTTGCTCACAAAAAGTTGGAAATAAAACTTGTCAAAGAGTAACTTCACAGGATGTGATGGCTGTTAAGATAGCAATTGAGCACGAGCTATACTGCAGATGCTGACTTCAAAAGGTCATTCATTGTCTTTTAATGGCTTTTAAAGCTTAATCTGGAGGTACAAACTAGGCTATAAGTATACAAATATAGTTACGGGAATACACAGAATGCCTTATAGCTGCTGGAAGGAAAGGCCTATTATTAGACTGTCAACATCTAACTGAGTACTGGAGGATGAGCAGGAATCAGTGAGGAACCTGGCTCAACTACCTTTTGTCTTACCAACAAGCACATCGTGTTTTAGTTCTCAGAACATCTGGCTGCTAACAAACTTCCTGGATTCCCATCTTTGGTGATTTCCTCACAGGAGAACAGAAAGTAGTAGCATGTACTCAGGCCTCCAAAGTTTACTAGCATAGATGGATACAAACAGCCTGCTCCCTTGCATCGAGACAGAACCAGATTTTTGGTATAGCATGTGCATAACAGCATCCCTCTGAATCAAAGTAAAGCTAGTCTCCATGGAAGCCACTCTTCTCTGGCATGTCTCAGTTTCTCTATCCTACAGTACTTTGCCTTACTAGGTTCCTCCAAGAGTATGCTGTTTCCAGACACTCAGAAAAGAGTTTGTTAGGTAGGAAATGTTTTAGCTAAGGAAAAGCTAAATGGCTCCCTATTATACAGGTACCTTAACATGATACAGAAATTCCTTTATGATCAACATCCTGCTCCTTTAGCTAGCCTCTTTCCCCATTTTCTCATTGAAGCTTTTCACTTCCATAAAACCAAACTATTTTCAGGGCTTTTATGCTTCCCAGTTCCCATGTTATTCTTGGAGGAAGCCTCCTATTTTTCTTGGCACAACTTAACCCAGGAATCACTTTCTTTAGGAAGCTGTCACTGAATCTGGAGGCAGCAAGAGAAAACTCTTTTCTTGGATCCTATCTTACAACATAGAAAATGTAGAACATATACCTAACCAATTGAAAAATATCTGTGTCCGTGTCTGCCTTCCCTACTATAAGGAAAACTAGCAAAGGGTAGGGACTAAATCATATTTCTTTCTTTTCTCCTCATCTGTGGTGTGGTGTTTTTGCTGACAAATAGTCCCACAGATGTCCATTGGCCCTGTGATACCTCATTTATCACCTAGCAGAACCTAGGCACTGAAAGCAGAGTAGAAAAGACAGATGTGGATGGTTTAATTACTCTATCAAGCCATTAGCCCCAGTAGTTATAAGCTATTTAGATCCTATGGCTCAGGCCAGAGTGCAAAGTCCTCTTCTTGAAGCCTGGGATCACAGAATATTATATATGTAGGGATCTTGAAAATACTCTAAATTTGTTGGCTCCTACTCTGGCCTAATGAAAACCATCCTAAGGTTTCTTGACTCTTGGTTGGTTGGTTTTTTGTTTGTTTATTTGTTTGTTTGTTTGTTTTGAGGGTTCTTTGTTTCTTGGTTTTGGTTTGGCTTGGGTTTTGTTTGTTTGTTTTGGTTTTTTGAGACAGGGTTTCTCTGTGTAGCCTTGGCTGTCCTGGATTCGCTTTGTAGACCAGGCTGTCCTTACTGATTCTTAAATTCTGGGATTACAGGCATGTGGCACTGAGCCTGGCTGGCTTCTTGACTCTTAATGGAAAGAATGTCAGGTTTCTTTAGAGTGATGGGAACTATCACAACATTTTCCTGGTATCACTAATAACATTCAGTGATATTAAACACAAGTCAGCGACAGTGTATGACTTTGTCAAATACAAACAGAAAATTAAAGTTTACATTAATACAGATGGCTTTGGGAGACTAAATCTTGGAAATGTGGCATCTCTAGAAACGTGTGACTGATAGAAATATACTGTTTCAACACCCAGGTTCATGCTAGGATGTATAATTTTGCTTAGTCATTTACAACACTTCATTGCCAGCCTGTGCTTCCGCAATTTTGTTCTTTATTCAAAGTCACCTACCCAAGAGCCTTTGTGGAGTGAATTTTTAAAACTGCTCACACCTGTGCTTCACACTGAGTAAAGGAAGTGCACTGTCAGTGTTACCAAAGTAATGATGTAATCTGAAGCAGTCAGGGAGGCTCTTTTAGTCACAGCATTTGTCTTTAATGATTTTGCAAATGACTTCTGTATTTCAGAGCAGTCAAGGTTATGCAGGGATCACATGAGTCTTCCTGCAATACTTTCTTGCATTTAGTGAGAAAAAGCTATATGTCACTGGAGGTATTTATAAATGTGGGTGCTTCTAAAAACATCTGAGATATATCCCTTAGGAATGGCAAAGATCCAGGTGTAAAAATGTGTCAGTGGTGGCAAAAATGCTGAAATTCACTACTCCACTTCAACACGCTCATTTCAGATTTTTTAAGTGACTTTTCTCAAGGTCACTTAGTTGATTAGTGATAAAACTGCACTTAGACCCCAGAACTGTTAACCTATAGTCAACAGTCAACAACTACTTACACATTTCATACATAAATGTCACTAGTGGGAGGGGGCTGAAAGAAAGTTATTTGGAAGCAGGCATGGATGAAGGAACATTAATGACGTTTCATGTTGTAGATTCTCTCTGGCAGTTTTCTTTTTGTAGAATTTTTAATTTTTTAAAATTTATTACTTTGTATCCCAGCTCTAGCCCCCTCCCTAATCCCCTCCCAATCCTGCCCTCCCTTTTCTCCTCCTATGCCTCTCCCCCAGTCCACTGATTAGGAACGTCCTCCTTCCCTTCCATCTGACCCTAGTCTATCAGGTCTCATAAGGACTAGCTGCATTGTCTTCCTCTGTAGCCTGGTAAGGCTTCCCTCCCCTCTCAGGGGGAGGCGATCAAAGAGCCAGCCACTGAATTCATGTCAGAGAGAGTTCTGTTCCTCTTACTAGGGAACCCACTTGGAGACTGAGCTGCCATGGGCTACATCTGCAGGGGTTCTAGGTTATCTCCATGCATGGTACTTGGTTGGAGTATCAGTTCAGCCAAGAATCCTGGGCCCACGTTTTTTGTTCTGTTGGTCTCTTTGTGGAGCTCTTGTCCCCTCCAGGTATTCCATTGTGTAAATGTACTACAATTTCTGTATCCATTCCTCCATTGCGGGACATCTAGGTTGTTTCAAGATTCTGGCTATTACTAATAAAGTTGATATGAACATGTTTGAACAAATGTCCTTGTTGTATACTTGAGACTAAATACGTATACAAAATATAAGTATACATATATTTTGAATATATGACTTTGGCAGGTTTTTAATTATAATACCATCTGTGCTGTCCATACATCTATTCTCATATTTTGGATATATGACTCTAGCAGGTTTTTAATTATAGCACCATCTGTGCTGTCCATAAATCTATTCTCAAAATATTTTTTTTCAAAAAATTAAATTCTTCTTCTAGACCATATGTTGTTGGATTTGGGGAAATTTTTACTGTAGTCTACTCCAGCAAGGTCTTTATTGTCTTTGACTTGCATAAAATAATCATTCTTAGGTGGCATTTGGGGTTGGCAGAAATAATAAACCTTATTTCATTAGTGAATCGAAGTTTTTTTTTTTTGGTACTTTAATGATTACATAGACTTAATGATTTTTGTTTTGAAACATTGTATTTAAGTCACTCTTCTCAAATGACTTAGCATGAATGCTAAAGGAGGACAAACAAAGTCTCCAATGTCATGAATCCTATGCTGCAGTGTCAAAGTCCATGACCTGCTGAAACAGATGGCATTTGATATACAGAAAGAGTATAAGAGCCACTTAAACACCTGCATCAATAACAGACTCATCCACTCATTGTAGTAGATTATCTTCCTACTTTATTAGGGGCTTTTACTAGCACACTGAGTCCTTTTAAAATAATCCATTTTTAATTTGGGACATCTCCAAAATTCAAGGATCCTGGGATGCTTGGAGAATATCCAGAGACCATCGCTGAGAATGACTAAGGGGAATAGGAAATAGAAGTATTGAGCATAAGAAGAAACATAATTTCCAGGATGGTAAATAACTGCTATGTTTTTTCCCCCAAAAAAGGTCAAAGCAAGAAATAATAGGCACAAATTATACCTGGCAGCAGTTAACCTGAACATAATGTACTATGTCCTGGTACCTTTAAAAATACACAGTTTGCCATTCCTTCCATCCTTAAATATGGCAGGCAGAGAAACTATGGCAATAGGCAATGACTTATATCATTCATCAGCTCAAACTATATCAAGGAGAAAACAGAACTCTAGCTTGATTAAAGAACATTAATTAAAGGGGTAAGGGAGGCAATAAAAATCAGGTAACAAGACAAAGATAAATCAACTGTAATCTAAAGTTATGTTGTTTGTTTGAAGCAGTCTTGCAAATTGAATTAATTCCTAATCAAAAATTTTAGAAGGTGAAAGTAATTATAAACTATTATATACATATGAAATTGTCAAGGAACAAATTTAATGACTGTTATTTGCTATTTCAATCTCTTTGTTAATTAACTGAACTTATTTGTTTTAGTGTCTTTTAAATTATTCCTTCTCCAAAAGACTACTTGGCAGTGTAATGGGATTTGAAAAAGATGGGATAGGGAGAGGTAGGTAATGAAGTCTGTCTCTAAGTTTCAAGGCTCAGTTTCAGAATTCACTGGGGATGGATTTTCACTTCTATAGAAATTTCATTAGCTATTACTAGAAATACACAGTTGAACAAGAATTTCCAAATCATGTATCTCAAACTTAAAGATTAACATAAGTTTCATAAGGATACTAATTAAACACATTGTGATTTCACTGGGTTGTGATGGGTCTGAGATTAGAAATTTACAACAAGCTGTTACGCCAGTAGGCCAGGGGCCACCATATAAACCACGAGGCTGCAGATGTTCACCTTCCAATTTAGCTTAAAAAGACTTTGAAAGGTAGCATTTGATTAGCATGTTATATAAGTGTAAAACCAACACTGAATTTTAAACATTTCAGTATTTTAAAGAATGTATATTATCAATTATTTTCAATTTTCTGGAGTGAACCCAGGTCCTTCTTTGCTTCTTTGGTCTACCTACAGTATTGTCCCTAGCCCAGCCATCTCTATTTTTAAATTAGTAGTCTTTTGAAACAATAGACTACTTGGAATATATATATATATATATATATATATATATATATATATAATATTTGGATTTTGGATTATATATCATAATATGAGGTTACTGATTCTTTATGTGCATGCATGCTGGGAATCAAGTCCAGCATTCTGACCATAGTATTCACTTATTCTACCACTCAGAGATCCTAAAAGTTTGGACTATATATATGATTCACATTATATTTGAGGAAATGCTTGTTTAACATTATGGTTAAAGAGATGTGTTTTTTAAACCTATGAAAAAAATTTTTCAGAAGTCCTTTAAAGATCAAGATATTTTTAGCTTTCAAATTTTTCAACTTGATAGCTATGACCTATGATGAGAAACACCCTCGATTGCAAAAATTGAACCTCCTTTTTGCTCAGCTAAATGAAAGGCCCTGTTTCCAGAAAGCATGTGGGAGACCTGGAGCACCGTGGCACCAGTGGACCAGTTCGTTCTCTCTCTCGATGGTCTCTCCAAGCTCGGGTGGCCAGTTGCAATTCTGCTCCTGTTCCATGAGGAAGTCCACACTCTGCCACACCAGCTCACGGTCTGAAGGCTTGAGATGTTCATGGTAAGAAAGCAGCATCTGGAGTATGGATGACAGGCCATGAGCTGCCCCTGTATGGACAAACAGAAAGGAGACAGTTTGATTTAATGAAAAGAAAACTGTGAGTTTTGGGTTTTTTACATTAAAATATTACCTATAGCAACCAAGTTGAAAAAACAAAACAAAACAACAACAGCAAAAAACTAAACTACCAACAAAGTACAGCTTGTAACCCCAATCTGGCTCACTGACTGCTATTGTAAGTAAACTTTTATTGTAATATAGCTATACTTCTCCATTCACACATTGTTCTCTGCTATCTCTATGTCATACAGCAGACTTGTATTTATGCCTGAAACCATATGGTTTGCAAACCCCAAATAAAACAGTTAAGCTCCTCATAGAAAATTTGATTTTATAAAAATGTACCCAACATGAATGAAAACAATTTGGTCTAGATATCTTAATAATTCATTCATCCATTCAAAATATGAGCATTAAGTATCTACTATCCACCAGATGTTGTAGGTGTTAAGGATAGATGAGTGAACAAAATAGAAAAAAGTCCTTTCTTTGGAAACATTTCTCTTGGCATTAATTTATTTAATTCTTCACAATTAACACTTGTGTTTTGGACATAATCTTACCATGGAAGTACAAAGATGAATATGAGTTTTTTCATATTCTTGATGACCTCTCCATTTAGTTCAGAAAATGAGCCATGTTTGAAAAAAAAAAAATAGATGTATACTAGGAATATGATGAGTAAGTTTATGTGACAACTTAACTGGTCAAGATGTTGCCAAGAGATTTTGTTAAACATTACTTCTAGGTATGTCTTTTTGACTGCTTGTGGAGATAATACAAGTTGAACCTGTGGACTGATTAAAGAACACTGTCATTACCAATTGTAGAGAGTCCTCATCTACTCATCAAAAGCCTGAACGGAACAAAAACTCTAAGAAATAATTCTCCAGCTTAGACTTTTGTCTTTTTCTTGTAGACTTAGACTCAGCCTGGAACTTAGAACACTGACCATTTTAGGTATGGATTTTTCAGCCTTATAATCCCTTAGGCCAATTCCTTTATTAGCTCTTCATTACTTATACAAATAAACAACATTCATGTAGATATTTATATATTACATGGCTTATACAACATATATTATATATGATGCATACTGTTTATTTTTATATTAAAACATATTATATATTGTATATTGATAATTATTAGAAGGGGGTATGAGTTTTCAAGTAGTTTGAATTGTAATATGTTTATCAATGGCCAGAATCGCCAATGTTCTTTTAAAAAAATCTATTAATTGTAAGAACTTTTAAAGACACTGGTAGTATTCTGACACACTTTGCACTCCATACTTCCTACCTTAGTTATCTGGGTTGTTTTGTTTTTGCCTGAGTTTGTCTCTGGCCACAAGAATATGTTCAATAACTACACTGAGACAAGGCAGAGTTAACACCCTTAGAAAAGCAGCCAGTGAAGCAGGGAAAGTATAGATAAATGGCCAAATTTCCTCAGCCTTGGGTAAGACAGTTCTGAGGCATGTCCCATAGAGCCACTAAGAGTCCTCAATAAGACTGAGCCTGCTATGGTTTGAATATGAAATATTTCCCATCAGATTATACAATGAATGCTTATTCTCCAGTGAGTGGTGCTATTTTGGGAGATTGAAGAAACTTAAGAATGTGGCGCCTATCTGGAGTAAATAGGTCACTTGGTGTGACCTATCTGGAGGCCCTTCCCTCCACAATTCTTATCTTCCATGAGAGTAATAGCCTCTGCCACCATGATGTTCTTCCCTATTATGAGACAAGAATGAATCTTCTGAAACCACAAACCAAAAATTTAAAAAAATATATATCTTTCCACCCTTAAGTTTTTACATTAGGCATTTTGCAAATGTGATTCAAAATTCTAACACAGAGCCTCTGTTATTAAGAAGTGCTCACTATTTCACAGTAAGTTAAATTCTTCCTCTTCCTTGTCTCATTTATCTACCTTCCTCTCAATGCTTTCTAGCATCCCATTTCAAATAAATTCTTGTATTCAAATCCTGTCAGGGTCTGATCCTACAAAGACTTACAAAAGAATGTGAAACTTCTTTAAGAAAGCTCTCATTGATGTTGTTCATGAGCCATTCTTCCACTCATTTGGGTAAGCTCATTAAATGTGAGCTCTGTGGCAAAGGTCCAGGAATCACAAAATTAAATGAATGAATCCCCATCATGAATGTACACAAAACCTGACAGGGCAGTTGAACCAGTGAGTCACAAATTATAATATTGTATAGTGAGGGCTCCATTAACAGTGTGAGCACAATGCCATGATGTCACCCTATTTGCTTCAGGGAAAAATACCTGAAACATGTCAATGATTCTCCAGATAGGCTCCAACAACCTTTTCCCTAAAACACAGAAAGTCTCTTAGTACATGTCTTAAGGTTTCACGGAGTTGAAGTCTGGGTGTTACAAGTAGATAAGGGCTTGTGGGACATGAAACATTCTAGGAAAAAGGAACATAAATAATCTTTTCAAGGTAAGAGGTTGTTTTGTGTGGAAAAACTACACTAGACAGAACCTAGAGGAAAGAAACATGGTTTAATTATGGCTTACCAAGTGCCTTACCAATCTTGCTCAGGAATTTAAGGACTCAAACAGAGGAACTCATCATTTTTTCTTTACATGAGTCAGAGCTTAACATCAGAGTCAAAATCAGTTCAGTTGTCTGTTATGAATATGTTATTATTAAACTTAGTGAATTAATTTTATTCCCCTATTTAAAGCCATGACCTAGAATCAGTGTGACAATTGTTCACCATATCTCAACAAAGTTAAGCCATATATGGTGATACATGCCCATAGTCCCAGTTCCTCAGGAAGTTGCATTGAGACTTCTATCTCATCTCATCTCAAAGAAATAAACAGGTGATAATAAAGATTTTAGTCTTTAATGAACATGAATGTTAAAATACTTACATTATTGTCATTCATATCTGACTATAAAAAGATATTAAATTGTATCTCAACTTTGGTTTTCGAATGTTGTGAAGTATTGCTTGTTCATAAATAATGATGATCTATAGCAAAACTGTAAGCACTCCTTCTTTACTCAGTGTTACCATTAGAGACTCTCTCCAGCCTCTAGGAGTCTGCCACTCACCCAAGTATTCGGTTCCATAGTAGGAATACATCAGGGGGAATGGTTTCCTCTTCTTCAACGCATACTGCTTCCCTGAGTCCAGAATTGCCTGACATATTGATTTAATTTGTGCTGGGGTTAGTACCTGAATAAAGAAAGAAATCATGAAGCCAAAGTCAAAACAGGAGCTCTATCTCTGCCCCCTCAGACATTAAAAGTCCAGCAGCATATTATCAGCATCCTTTCCTATATGTAAATTACTTTATGTTGCCAGCTGCTGGTAGTGCACATGCCTTTAATCCCAGAGCTTAGGAGGCAGAGGCAAGTGGATAGCTGTGAGTCTGAGGCCAGCCTGGTCTACAGAGTCAGTTCCAAGACAGAGAAACTCTGTCTCAGAAAACCAGAAGGAAAAAAAGACCTTTATGTTTTGCCACTGCTTCTTCTTTTAATTCAACTTTATCTACCCTCTTCTGAACACTTAAAACAGACCCTTTTTCTGTTATAGGTTGTTATAAAATGCAAAGACCACCATACAGATGTTCTGTCATTAATCTTTGTCACCAGAATAGGAATTCTCTCAGGAAAGAACAAATAGTGATGCTAACGGACCATGCTTAACAAAGCTACTTCTCCTGTAGTCTTTACTTTGAAACAGTTAAGCTGTGCTTCTAAAGCCATGTCTACACAACAAGCTACTGCATGACAATGCAGAGCAGCCACTTGCAGTCCCAGAATGAAAACAAAGTTCATTTGTGCCAAGACAAATATCACTTAAACATCAAAAAGACTCTGAATAGAGAAAGGCTGAAATGGAAGGACTTGTAGTCTTCCACATTTAGTTCAATCTCTATAATCAGTTTTAGGGTGATGAAGGAAGATTCAAATGTTCACAAACCACCAAGGCACCAGGGAGTTTAAGTTTCCTCTGGTTTGCACTGTGTTCTGTGTTCTGTTTTCTGTGTTCTGTGTGCTTCCTTCTGTTTGTTGCCTCTACCACCAAGCTTTCTGCTGTGATGAAATACTCAACCTCATGCTGTCTTAGATCTGTATCTCACTATTCTCAGTCCCTTGAGAGCAAAGATTGTGACCTTTCATAATTTTGGATACTTGGTGCCTAACACAGAAATTGAGGTTCGGGGAAGAGGAGACTTGGTAACAGCTGAATAAGTTTTATGTGAAGTATAAAATACAGAGCCCTCCTTTCTTCACCTTTATCCTCTCTCTTTCCTTTCTTTTCATGAGAATTTCTAAGCTCCATTCCATCAAAGCTTACTGCAGGTGCTGGTCCTAAGACAATGAACATGACAGACACAACACTTGCTCTGGGGACACCAAGCTTCCTAAAGGCAAATGTGAATAAAAGTACTGCTTAGGGTGGCCTGGAAAAAAGTTATCTACAGTCTACCATGATTTAATGAGTCTACCATCAGGAAAAAGTTCACCAAATTTTGGGCTCTCTCTTACGGCATATATGTTAAGACAAATGAAATAATGATGTACACAGATTTTATATGAAAGACGTTTATTGGATGGAAATGAAGAGGGAGAAGGAGAGAGTGAGATATGATAGGGAAGAGGAGTAGGCTCCCCATCAGAGAGAGGGGAGAGCAAGAGAGTGAGAGAGTAAGAGGACAAGAGCACAAGAGAACAAGAGAGAGAGACAAAGTTGGTCCTTTTATGGAGCAACTTAACCACGCCTGCCAGGTGCTACACCTGATGGCATCACAGGTTGCTAGGCAACCCAGAAGCAGGATGCCTAAATAATAACATTCCTCCCTTTTTTTCTATAATTATAAAATAAGGAGCTTGGGCTGCTTCTCATGTAAGGCAAGTATATAAATGTAGGTTCATTGGAAGCATTTCTTGGTTCCCATGCAAGGAGGTGATAGAGAAAGAGAGAGAGAGAGAGAGAGAGAGAGAGAGAGAGAGAGAGAGAGATTATGCTACAAAATGTCCAGATCACATGGTCAAGTGGAGGAGGGAAAGCCCTTTTTGCCTTGGAAAGTTTAGGGTAGAGGGTTGCCAGTAGAGAGTTGCCAGTCATGCAAGGCAGCAGGTTGGGACTGAGGAATGCTGGGAGAACCTGAAGCTACTTGTCCTGGGTCTGAAGCACACCATTTCAGCCTTTTGTTAATAATAAGTGAATAACAGGCAGAGATTCTCTCCTGGCTATTTCCTGCTGACACTGGGAAGGTTAAAAGTCTGAAATGTTGGCCAAGTCCAGGAAGAACAGGCTGTTTTGATGCTGTCTGGGCTCTAGGAGAACATCCATGACTGGGAGGGAAAGTACAGGTCCAGCTTGATGGAAGTCTGTGAGGTCAGACTGGAACACCTGTGGTTAGCTAATTTGGTACTGTCATGAATATAGGAAACACCTGGGTCTGGCAGGATACTGGAACATATATGGAGGCAGAAGACAAAGTTAAGTAGGCCATGGAGAAAATTCCTTTAGGTGTACATTTAAAGCTTTTGGGAGAGAAAACAAAGACTGAAGAAGAGACTTGAACATGGAAATCTCCATATACCTGAGGGAACCTCCATTTACCCAATCACTGGCAGTAATTAAAAAGGCTTTGCTTTGGATCTATCATCTAAGGAAATTGAGGCCAAGTTTGGTTACAGATATGTGTAAGCTTAGAGGCCCTTAAAACAGGCACTAGGTGTAGAAATCTGAAATTCTCCAAAGACATCCCAAAGGAGAATCTGGAGGAATGGATGAATGGACTATTCCCATTGGTCAGGTAGGAGTCAGTGACCTGTCAAGGCTTCCTAAGAGCAAGGTTTGACTCAGTAGATTGGTACAATCTTTTCCAATAACTCATCAGTGTTGGCCAGAGACTAAGGGCACAGTTGCCTGTACCAGACACAGCTTACCTAGCTAGGATTTCATAGAGAGCATGAGGGGGAGGGAGAGAAGCCATGCGAGTAGAGGGAAAATATTACTCAAGGGAGAAGAAGGTCCTAAATGAAGGGTTTAGATGTAGTTTGGCAAAGTGGTAGGAAGCATTTGCACCAACCAGAAGTGAAGACTCACCAATTGGCTTGTGTTACTTGTAGGAATACAGCAGTTGGTAGCCAGGAATTGATGCCAACCAGAAGAGAAGACTCACCACCAATCAGCTGGTATAGGATGTAGGAATATAGTATTGAGTATCCAGGAAAGGGAAGTCCCAAGACCAGGGAAGGGAAGGAATCCCACCCTCTGAGACAGGCAGTAGCCCAATTGACCTGAGAGGTGGATTCAGGTGGATTTCCTGCAGCTTATCAGAATTCCTTTTAGGTTTTAAAAGGAGATAAATCTTTAGACATGTTAGCATCAGAACTGTAATTTACAGTGACATATACATTATGGAAAAAGGCAGTAAACATTCACATTTGTTTTAACAGTGTAAACATTCTTTAAGGTGAGCTCTGAAAAGGCAGAAGCCTTTTGTAATGTAGAAGGGACAAAAGCTCACTTGATCTTAACTTTAAGTATGATTACACATTATGGATGGGAGGTTCCTCTCTATCCAGAAGACTGGAGGTCTAGTACAATGAGAAACAATTTTTAAGTTTATACTTAAAAGACAAACCAAAGGAGATTTAAAATCTTGAGCTTGGAACCCTAGTGGGTGGTATAGTGGAATGTTTTTGCATTAGAGTTAGATTAATAAATCAGAACTCTATTATAAAGGTCAAAGCTCTGGACAGTCAATATAAGAGTAGCATACCAATAGGAGGAAAAATTAAGCATTTTTTTTTTTTTACCTATTTAGGATACCTTAAAGCACCTTTGACCTTGCAACCTTTACAACTTGCATTTACCAACATTAAAACATTTTCTTAGACCCTTAAACAACATTTTCCTTAAGCCTTTTTATCTAGTTAGTTACTATTAGACATAGGTAAGACTGCTATGAACATTTATTGTTCTTGAGCTAAAGGGATGGTGAAAGGTTGCATTTGAGGCCTGTTTCTTGAGTCTGACAACAAGGCATATTGTGTCTAGGCCTGACAGTAGCAACTCTAGGACTCAGGCATAAGGCCTGGTTTCCTGCATATGAAGAGTCCTGAGAAGGCATCTGAAGTCTCCCAAGACAGAAGTTGGAAATATGTCCAGGGGACCCGAGTGTGAGGTTAAAACAGACCTACAATGTTACCCTTGGTTGAGCAAGGGTGGTGGAGGTCGCTGAATCTAAGAACCATTTGTCCTCCACCAGGCCAAGGAGTTTGAAGGCTGGAAGTGTCTGTAGCTCTTGTGCTGTGTGAGCCTCCATGGTAGGTCACAGAGGACAAGCCTGCACGGAAGTATTTTGACTTCCAGAAACCAGTCTGCCAGCAGGCAGTCAAGGCTTGTTGAGAGAGCCATAGGACCAGCGCCCCCTTTGGCTTCATTTGAAACCTGGTGGAGTTGACTTTTGGCTATACCCCGGTGGGATGGGACATTGCACACCTCGTTTTCTGTGTAGGAATGCCAATAGCCTCAGAGCAGCAGCCGAGGTCTGGAACATAGTTTTTGCTGTACATGAGCCTATCGACTCTTCTCTTATTGTTTTTACCAACTCCTGTATGGTGATTCAGGGACAATTATCAGCTAATTAAAGAAGGCAGTGAGGCCATGTCTGCATCTGTGGTGCTATAAATATATTTTAGAACATGTTAAAGAACTTGATCATCTATAAGATGAATGAACTACTAATTTGCATTTGTTAACCAGTAAATATTTAGACTTTAGGTTTCACCCCTGTTCTGTTGGAGCCTTAAAGGTAGTCCACTAAAGTAAGAGCATGACAGTTTCCTGTGTGATTTAGTATATAAAAAGTTCACAGTTTTTAAAAGTCTAAGGCTATACTATAGATTAATAATGTTACCATTTTCAGAAAACAAGAGCAAGCATATGTTAACATTTTGATAGTGAAGATATAGTACAATGACCAAGTTTTAACATAAACAAATAGATGCTGTAAATGTAGATCTTAATTTAGAGTATTGGTAAAAATGTGTATGTAGAAACTCCTGAATTATGAGTTCTAAAACCAACAATATAGGAGAACAATATAAAGCAATATTTTTAGCATGCTATTTTTTTATTTCTTTTAATTACACTTTATTCACTTTGTATCCCCTAATAAGCCCCTCCCTTCTCCCCTCCCGATCCCACCC